ATAAAAAATAATTAATTAAAATTTTATATTTAAATAAATAATTATTTAAATTCTATATAAATATAAAATATAATACTTATATATAAATATCATAGAAACTATATATTTATCCACACGCTTTTACTACTAATGTTTCTAAATGCTCCTTCCCCTAAATTTTTAAAAAATAAAATAAAAATAAAAGACTATCCCATTAAATACGCGTTTTGACAGAAAATAGTTACTCTGAAATTTCAGCTACTTCTCTAGCTCTCTCTCCCATACTAGTCATCTCTTCAGCAACTCTCCTCCCCTTTTCTACACTTTCTTCATCTCTTCCTCCACTCTTTAACCAGAATTAGTCATATTTGGATTTGAAGGAATCCCCTCTGCTATTTTTTCATCAGCCTGATCTACCTCACCTTCAAATCCTGCTGCAGCATTCAACATCTTAGCACCCGTTTCTTGCATTTGTGGACAGTATTTCCACCATTTTTGAGAATTCAAAAGGAAAGGTAAATCCAGGTACAGACATATGTTCTCGGTCTCTTTAATTAATTAATGTTATTTCTTAGCAAAAATGGGGAAAAGAGTTTTTTTTTTTTTTAAATTGATTGCAAAATCGCATAACGCGTGTTATCTACTTTAAATTAAATTTAAAGGCACAACGAGAAATATACACTTTCTATTAATTAAATTAGACTGTCACCATGTATTTCACCGCTCTTTTGCCAAAAATCCTAGAGGTTGGTATTTTGTAGTTCGTATGCAAGGATCGTGGACTGAATTATTCACCGTGTGTACAAGGTGAATCGTAAAATATTTCTTAAAAAATGTATTTCCTTATTTCTTTTTCAGTTTTTTTTTTTTTGGATTTTTTAAATAAATTTTGTGGATTATAATTTATATTGTAATTTAGATTATATTAAATTATAAAATAAAAATGATTGTACGAGAGAAAACACCTAACATTAACAACTATGTTTCTTTAATGGTTTAAGTTAGTGCACCGCAATCGCAACACTTTATTTTCTCTTTTTCTAAATAAGTATGTGATTCATTTGTATCCCTTCATTTTTACTGTAGATATCTTGCTCATTTTAACAATGGAAGCGGTAGGAACCGCATTCTTATCTGCATCCTTCGAGTGGTTAATGGACAAGTTGGGTTCCAAGTCCAGCGAGTTATGGAATCCACAGAAGCAGATTCTTGATGACTTGCAAAACTGGAAGAGTCTTTTGCCCAAAATATGGGTTGTGCTTGATGATGCGGAGAAGAGGCAAATAGCCAATCCTGCTGTGAAATTGTGGCTTTCTGACCTCAAAGATTTGGCTTATGATATGGAGGATGTCCTTGATGGACTAGAGGCTGATGAAAGAAGGAAGAAATTAACTGCCAAAACTGATCAACCCAGCACAAGTAAGGCACGAAAGTTGATCCCCACGTGCTGCACTGGTTTTA